TTGTGCAGAAACTTGAGAAGGGTTTTGAGTAAATAAAAAGGACAGTTTTTTCCTGAGCTGTTGTGAGAATGCACCAAACGTCTGTGTCTTTGTCTTTCTTTATCGCCGACTCCACGCACCCTTCCTGAGCTCCGAACTCGGCTGGAGCTGGACTCCGGCAGGGGGAGGGCACGGGGAGGGGTTGGGGGATTCCCAGAGCCTATGAAACTGTGCCACATAAAGCAATGTAATTAATAAAAAAAAAATATTTAAAAAAGAATTCCTTTTTCCTTTTTGTATAAAAAGTTTTAGGAAATTCTAATGTTCTTTCATTAATGCCACCTTTACAAACATTTTTAGGTACGTAATAGTAGCAGTAGCCCTGTTAGATCTCCTGATGAACTGCCTTCATGCTTCCACAAACTTTTCTTCTTGTCATTTATCCCAACAGTGAGTTTGTATTTATCATTGGAATATTGGAGCATGTGCTAAAGTGGTGACTCCTCTAAGACAGGGCATGTGTCTTGTTACTTAAGCTCTTCATTGTATATTCAGTGTCTAGCCAAACACATGATTCACCAGAGAACTTGGATATGCAATGCATGAACAAGCCTTGGGGTGACTTTGTCAGTGAACTCACATAATACCTGGCTGTCTTGCCAGAGAACTCTCTGAGACACTAAAATAGTTCACTTGACTGGATTGCTGAGTCACACCCAACACCTGTTGAACTGGGAACGAGCTAACAATCTCTCAAAAATCTCAAGCTCCACACCAGCTCTCTCATCTCCTCTACCCTCTCCTGGTTTCTGCTCCAACCAGCAGAGTCAGTACTGTGGACAGGGAAAGGGTCTGGGGATGAAGCACCAACAGGAGACCAGTGATGGTAGAAATCTCTGCGAAGTCTCTTTATTGCTCCTTCACCTCTCCTTATATAATCTTCACCCCCAGCCCATCCTAATTTAGCCAGGAAATTGGACAGAGATGAGTCCAATTAGTCTAGGTGTTTTTAGCTACAAATCCAGATCCTGTTCCTGCCCAGGCCAACAAGCACAAAAGAGATTTTTGCATGGCACACACTCTATGGGCACATGCTTTATGGGTGGAGGACCCTTGCCAACTAACTTCTTTTTTTTTTTTTTTACATTTTATTATTATCATTTTATGATACAGTTCCATATTCCCTTATCCCCTTCCCAAATCCCGCCCCCACCTAGTTCCTCTATATCATTACTAACATATAGTTCTTCATACTCAGTCATATGTCCATCATTGCGGGCATGAACAATGGCAGAGAGTCCAGAATCCTATTGTCAAGATATAGTAAACAGTTTCATCGTAAGTCCATCAGAAACTCTTCTTCCCTTTCCTCCTCCTCAGAAGAGGGCCACAAATCTTCTTCGTGCTGTTTCTCCAGACTCAGTCTGGTCTGGGGTTCCTTCTTTATTAAACTTGATTTGGGGTCCCCTCTGTCTTCCTACTCTGGCTTGGGGTTCTCTCCCCCTTCTTGTGAATAATTTTTTAAGGAAGGGTTGCACCAGCACTTGAGGAGATGACAAAGCATTTTTACCAAGCACCAGAGGAAAAAGGTGGCTACAAGGAGAGCAAACCATGGGGATACATTGCAGGCAGTTTCAATGAACTTCTGTGAGGCCTTAAGCTTAGTGTCAGTGCCTTGTGACTGGAGCAGATCTCTGATTTCCTTAATCATCTGCACTTTAGCGAGTTCTTGCCCCATGATAAATTTTACTTAAGCCCCTGCAAAATATTTAATTCTAAACTTGCCTCCGGATTTCTGGGGTCCCTCAGATTATCCCTCTTGCCCAAGACAAGGAGGAGGTCTAGGGATGAAATCATTTATGCCCCTCCAGAGTGCCAGGGGCCCCTCAGATTGTCCCTTGTGCCCTAGGAGAGGGAAGGGTCTGGGAATGAAATTACTTATGCCCCTGCAAAAAATTTTAGTTTTAAGCTTACCTTTGTAGGTCCAGGGATCCCTCAGACTGTCCCTCGTGCCATGCCCCACGTTGGGCACTATTTTGTTCCGGCCAGCAGAGTCAGTAACGTGGAGAGGGAGAGGGTCTGGGGATGAAGCACTAACAGGAGACCAGTGATGGTAGAAATCTCTGCGAAGTCTCTTTATTGCTCTTAAACCTCTCCTTATATAATCTTCACCACCCCCTCCCCCCACCGCCGTCCTAATTTAGCTAGGAAATTGGTTACAGATGAGTCCAATTAGTCTAGGTGCTTTTAGCCACAAGCCCAGTTCGTGTTCCTGCCCACGCCAATGAGAACTAATCAACTCCTTAGCCCACAACAGGTTTCCCTTTCCTCATCTGCACAAAAAGATCATATACTCGGTTCTTCATGCTTTTTCTTTCTTTCTCTTTTTTCTTTTTTTTTTTTTTTTGCTTTTTTTTGCATTTCTTTTTCTTTTTCTTCTTGATAATGTTTACATTGTTGATCAGAGTGGGAAGGACTGTGGGTTAGGTAAAAGTGAGTGTGATCATCATTTCCAAATTTTCTATTACTTCCTGTTTCTGGGAGAATGGAGATACAAGGAGAGAAGCAATACTCAGCCTCATAAGTGTCCCAGTATCCAGCAATGAGGAACAGTCACCCGATACCAACACAGGGTCTTGTGTGGTGCATGCTCAAAGGGTTCTGGTCTAGTGGTTTTGAAAGATCTGAAATGCTATTGATTTTGCCAATCCAATGTTAAGGAAATCCTTCCAATATCCATTAGCTGACAAATTCAAACAGAGTCTGCATTCGGCCAGATACTTGTCGTCATCCTTTGACTGAGGTAGTTGTCCAAATTATTCTGTTTTTCTTCCTCTTCTAGGGTACAAATAACTGCTGCAGGCCCCAATGGGCTGCCATATTATTCATGTGCATCAGAGCCAGCCATCCACTGCTCTGTCTTTTCCACTGGGGAGGACCAGTTTTCACAGGCAAGCCCAAAACCCAGGCCCTGCCAGACCCTCCACATCCAGGTCTCACGCTTAGCATCTACCATACAGGTTGGGCCAAGGACCTCTTCCTCTGGTGCTCAATGACCCTCACCTAACACACAGGCAAGACCCCCTCATGGATTTCTTTGAACTACAGGAAGTGTTCCACTATTCCTAGCTATCATCATTATATTAATTAAAGCATTCAGATTCTGTTTAGCTATTTGACTTTATAAACCACAATTCAAGAAATATTAAATATATATATATATTTGAGATATCCATTATAACTTCAGGGGAAAAAAATCTCAAACAGAATTGCATGCAACCAAATAGATGCATTTTTAAATTGTTAAACTGTTTTACAAACCATCCTTAGAAATTTGTTTTTCAATTTCTAAACCTCTCAACATTCATGACAGTATATTTTCCCTGTCCTAAGCCAATACAGAATTAAATGATAATGTGACTTGCCTAAGAACTGTCTGAAGCCTCTTTGAACTCTCAACAATTACTTTCATTTTGCAAAGTTGACACATGTACATTTTTATTCCCATTAATGACGTCACATTCTCACTTTTGTCCACTGTAATTACAACAATACTTGACTGACATTTACATTTCTTATTTTTCAACATCTGTTCAAGCACTCTTTTAAGTTTTCCCATAGAGATGTACTTATTTCTGAGAAATATAGAGTGCTTTTTCTCTTTTCAGTTATTATTTGAAAGGCAGAATTGCAAAAGAGAGACAGAAAGAGAGTTCTTACATCCACTGGTTCACTGTCTAGATGGCAAAAATGGCTAAAGTTGGGCAGGTCTAAAGCCAGGACTCAGGAGCTTCTTCTGGGTCTCTCATATTGAGATGCAAACCCCAAACACTTGAGCACGTTAGCAGGGAGCTTCCCAAGCACATTAGCAGGGAGCTTTTGTCCATGAGAAGAATGAAGGCACCTTTTCCCATTGCCAGGTTTCTTATGAGCCTGGAAAGGAAAGGTGTTATTTTATAAATAAAAAGATAAGATAAAACAAATATCCTAAGTCTCAGCTAAGAGGAACTACACCCTAAGGAAGGGGTCATTTGATTAACTGGTAGGCACAGAGGATTATATAAGGCAGGGGAGGAACGGCTTCTAACTGCTAGTTACCTGCTCATCCCATCTCATTCCTCCCTCAGATACTTTGAACCCTCACTCTTAGGGAAACTAAAGAGTGTAAATTTATCACATCTTGGGTAACTACTTCCTGCTGACTGGACTTGTACACATTGCCTATCCCAGATTCAGAAATCCCTCCCCATTTCATCTAAAGGATTCATGTCACAAGCTAGAGAATTACCAGTCAGTGCCAATGATTGTGTCCCGTGTGCTTCTCCTTCCTCTGAGCAGATATTGGCTTTTGAAACAGACAAGTTTGTCAATCAACATGAGCAAAACTGGAAAGAAACAGATTGCAAGTGGGGTACTCCTTAACAAGAGAGGATTACATTTTATCCTTTCGCAAGTACTCTGTGTTGATAGATTATTCCTATAAAGATTTCTAAACTAGCCAACTTGAGCTTAAAAACATTTAATGTACCTTTCAGAGAGCATACCACCATTAGAATAAAGGTGACAGATTTCTATTAATCCCTCCTGGGTTTTTTTTGGGGGGGGCGGGGTTTACCTTAAGTTGTTATTTATTTTCATTAAGGGGGAAACAGGACCCTTTTAGATAGTGAAAATATACTTTATTTTATACAATAGCTGCCAGCAATATACTGGTGTTGATATTCCAAAGTCAGAGAGAAAAAAGAAACAACATTCCAGAAATTCTAAACAAAATACTCCAGTTCTGTTCAGTATTACAGCTTGGGGAGTGGAAACTTCTTTTCATGGTAAAAATAAAAATATGAGTGGCTCCTGCCTGGTTAATTTGTAGAGAATGTAATTTGAATGCTTTCTCCTCTTTGAATTCAGTACTAATTATAACCAGTGTAAGAAATTGGGTGAATTAACAACTTGATGAAATGCATATCAAAATGTTTATGAAAAAATAACTTGTATTCCTCTCAGTTTCACTTTGTATTTTATAAATGAACAGTTTTAATGCATAGAAATAAAAGCTGTCTGCATACAACTCTGTAGAGGCTCGGAAGTTAACACAAGTAAAAACCACCTAGGTTGGTCCACTCAGCCTAAGCAAAAATGCCATGAACCACTTACCTGTATACAGATTGTTCAAGGGTTTCAAGACAAGTCGTGAAAGCTAAAGTTGGCAAGAAATAGAATTCTTACCCTGGATCAGCTGGAATAGCACAGGCACTCCAGCTGCTGAACACAAAACTGCCTCAGCACTCCCGGGGAACAGTGAGGCCCTCCCCTTGGACTGTGTGTGTTTGCTGCAGTGTAACCAAGCAGGGAGCACACGAGGGGTTCCCAGTAGTCAGAGAAACCAAACTCAGCTCCATTTCCACACTATCAACCCCATACCCTATAGGAACTGCCATGGAAACTTCTACATCCCAAACCTCTGAAGATTTTAAGCCATGACCTTTCTAGAAACATGAGATACAACATTAGGCTTTTTATGGGCTTTGTCTGTTACCAATCGCCATCCAACTTCCTCGATTAAGTCATAAAACCTTATCTCTATAGGAGAAAAATAAACCTGTTTTCATGAAAATCTCAGAATCTGCCTTCCTGAGACCAGAGGGACAGCCACAGGTAATCACTAGGCAAAAAAAACGAGGACAAGAACCATCTAGAGAGAAACTGCCTCCTGGCCTGGTGCTGCTCACTCCTGTCCTTGGGGGGACATGGCCCTGACTTGGCACCGCTGGGCCCACCACTCACTACAAGGCACAGGTGCCCCCCGACCGCTCCTCTGATATTGTCACACTGGAAACCTCAAAACTGGGTTCAGCAGGCCTCTCTGACACCTGCCTGGGCTTGGGAGTGGACAGGACACTGCCACCAAGCTAGTGCACTGGGATGGCAGACAACAGCACTTCTGCCAAGAGCTGGACTGTGCTTCCTCACAAAACAGGGTGCTCAGGCTTGTGGTTCGGAGCACAGAATACTGAGAAAGGTAAGGGCTCCCTGGCCTAAGTCCATTACAGACAGCAGGACACAGTGCTGCCACAGCCAGGAGGAATGCTGCCCTATTACAGCATTCACATTCTAAAAGAGTGAAAGAACACTTCTAAAACAAATGATATGCAAATTACCCAAAGTGTTTGCAGTCATGACCACAGTCTTAGGTCATGACCACAATCTTATTTACATCCGTTTTCACTTCACTGTTGAAAGTCATACATAGTGGGTGGGTCCTGGGAGCCAAGTTTTGCAGGTCTGCAACTTCCTTTTAAGGTCCACAGTTGTGACACTAAACACAACTCCTTTGAGCCAAAGAATCATGAAGAACCTCTGAGAAAACAGGCAGTTTCCTATGCCTTCACCATTGCTGCCAGCCTTGATGAAGAGCTCAATGAGCGGCTCTTTGTCCTCCTCCTTGCAGGGCCGGCTCAGCTGTTAGGGATCCAGGGCTGCTCTGGCTGCGGACTCCTGGGGGAGGGGGCGCTGCGCTTGCTGGACACACTCCCAGTGTTGAGCTTGGCTCCCTCAGCACCACCCCATGCCCCAAGAGCGGCTCACAGGCAGCCGCAGCCCCAGCCGCAGCCCCAGCCGCTTCCTTAATCCCTCCTGTTTTACAAGTATATGTTCTAAAGATTATCAGTAATCTCTGATTACTTTAGGCAGTGTCCACTGACTTGAGTACTTGTTATGGACACTAACCTGAAGCACAGGCTAAATTATGTAAAGCAATAGGTTCTCAAAGTTAGCTACACAAGACATATGGAGACCTTACAGTATCCTATTAGAAAAACTCATTGAGAAGAGAATAAAGATGGCGAAATAGGATAAGGACATGTTTAAACAGAGAAACATTAGCCAGTCTGAAGCAGAGAGGACACATTCCAGGAAATAGGAGAGAACAGAACAGCAGAGGGGCACCTGCACACTGACAGACACAACAAAGCAGCGGACACAATGATGTGGTGCTACAGTGACTGATACCCCAGCAGCATTCAGCGAGCAGTGGTCTGAATTGCACCAGAGGCCAGAACCACACCAGCAACAAGGTGGGAAGGGACGTTCACCGGGAGCTAAGGAGGCAGTGCAGGAACAGGGTGGATTTCACAGCCCAGTCTGCCCCACAGAACCAAATCAGGCACCATGTTGTATAGAGAGACAAAGGTTATGGGACAGGACTGAGCATGCACTGAGCTGAAGAGTGAACTCATTTCTGGCTCTGTGAACTGCAACAACATGGCATCTTACAAGTTCCAGCCAAGATAGGTCCTAGTGGCCCTCAGACCTGATGGCCAGCAGGTCAAGAACTCTAGTCGTGGCACATCAGGTGCCATTTTGTATGGTGTGGAAAGGAATTTTTGACTGAAGGGAAAACAATGAGCTACACATGTGCTGAGCTGGGAGCAAACTAACGGAGCTCAGTGCACTAGTTCCGCAGGAAAATAATATTGACTTTGGCATTTTACCGGTCAAATTAGGCCCGTGAGGCCCTCAGATCTAAAGGCCAATAGGTTCCAGGAAGACCACCACCAACAACAACCTAGCTATATAGAATTCCAGGTGTCTCCCTAATCCTGGGAACTGTTCCAACCGGAAGTGGAAGAAAGGTTGCACAGACATTGGTGCAGCCTCAGCATGGTATCACAGGAGGTAGAGAGTGGTGAGCCAAGAGCTGGTACTATGGAGACCATGGTGGAAATCTAACATAAGAACCCAGACCTGGGACTCACTGGAGAGAGTGGCACAGGTGACTACAAGCAAAAATTGTGCACCAACTGCAATAAGTAAAATTGAACTGTAGACATGTCGGTGACACAGCTTAGAAACCCGACACAAGGAGAAAAATCTGATCATCAGGAGTGCAATGACCAAGAGCAAAAGAAAAGACACACAATGAATATTACTGAAATCTCCCCTGCAAAGGAGCAAAACCCTATGCCAACCTCAGAGTTCACTGAGGAAGACATCGAGAAAATGGGGGACACAGAATTCAAAATGCTTTTTATAAAGTGCTTATCAACAACAAGAATCACACAAAGCAGCAGTTCAAGGAATTAAGAAATATGTCACAAAGGAAATGAATCAAAAGAAAGCTGATATATCAAAATTGGAGAATACAGTGGAGCAAATTTAAAGTACAGTGGAGAGTCTTCAAAATAGAATGAAACAAGCAGAAGAAAGAATCTCAGAATTGGCACATATTTCCTGTCATCAGCGGAAAACAAACAAAAACCTGGAAGCAGAGCTGGATCAAATAAAAAAAAGTATTCAAGAATTGAAAGACACAATGAAAAGGTCAAATATAAGAGTTATGGGAACACCAGAAGAATCAGAAAGAGAAACTGGGATTAAAGGTATAGTCAATGAATTAAAAAGGGAAAATTTCCCTAATCTAGAGAAAGAATTGGGAAACAATATCCAGGAGGGTCACAGATCTCCCAACAGGGTTGACCCAAAGAGATCTTCACGATACATGATAGTCCAGTTCTCTTCAATCGAACATAAGGAAAAGATCCTTAAATGTGCACATGAAAAAAAAAATCAATTGACATAAAAAGGAATGCCAGTTAAATTCACAGGAGACCTCTAGATGGAAACTACAGGCCAGAAGAGAATGAACAACATATTCCAGATTCTAACAGCAAAAATTGTCGGCTCAGGATAACGTGCCCAGCAAAGCTTTCCTTTGTCTTTGAAAATGAAATAAAATTCTCCCGCAGTAAAGAAAAGATCAAAGAATATGTCTTCCAAACCTACCTTTCAAAGTATGCTTATAGATGTTCTCTTGACAGAGAAGAGAAATAGTACTCACCAAAAAAGGGCAAATGGGAAGAACATCCAAGTAAAATAACAACAGAAGACTAAATCAATGAACAACCCATTGCTAAAATAACAGGACAAAATTACCATCCATTAACCCTAAAAAAAAAAAAGTTATAAAATGGTACTGTGGGCAGAGGCTGGGACATACATCCACTGATTCTGGTTCCTCAAAGCAGACATCCTGATGCCTCAAGAGCCTGCAGAACATGAAACCACTGGCTGCTTGTCAACACCAAAGGCCATTGGTCAGATCAAATGCAATGCTCAAAAGGGAATGGAGGGCTCAGGTTGACATATTCCAGTACATATTGAGGAGGCAGGGAGCAACACACCAACTCTCAACCCTATCCCATGTCTCACAGCTGATCCAGTAATACAGCAGAGCCAGGGCAGTAACCGTGGACCCCTGCCATGGAGTATTATTACTGGCTACCACTCCCCAGTCATGTCTCTAAAGATAGAAAGAGTTTGCTTCTTTGATTACCCTAGATGACACCTAAACTCTAAAAAGGAAAACAGGAATTGTGAAACCTTGAATCCACCATCATAAATTAGACAGCTTCCCAGTACTTACAATCTTTTCTCTTAGAATCTGTGATATTACTGAAGGTGAGATTTAAAATTATTTCCAAATTATACATACAAGTGGTCATACAATGCATTACAAAAAGCTTTAAAAAAAATCATGCATTAGCACAAAATCCATTCAGTGTGCAGGATGAACCTATGAGTTTTAACACACCAGAAAACAAAATATGCAGCAATAGAGCTTCAGCTTATACATTGCAAATAACCTTTAAGAGCTGGCACTTGTGTAATTTTAGTGTATGATCAAGGGTGAATATTCACAACTGTTTGGATACATTATTAAGATAGTCTCCCTACATATTTGCTCATGCTAGGCTTTTTTTCCCACATACTACAATTAAAAAAAATCAGGCTAACTGTAGAATACAAGCGAAAATTCAGTATTCTAACTAAACTAAAGGTGCAGAGGAACAAAATGTAAAGACTCATTTTCCTCACTATCCTGTTTACTTTGAAAATTGTTATTTCTTGTAAAAACAGTATTCATTTAAAAGTCATGGGATATTTTAAATGAGTCAATTATATTTAAAATGGTTTCCACTTCTGAATTTGAACTATTGGTACATATAACCCAACTTCTGTTTCTGTTTGGGGTCATCACTAATTCTGCAGAGCATAAACATCCTGAAACCAAAACATCTGAGAATCACTGACTTACTTAGTCACTGAGTCGGTCTCAGGAAGATGGTGCAGAAGGAGCCTCTGTGCCAGGTGCTAGTGCAAACCTGGGATAAAAGGCTCAGATTCCCAGGGTGGCTCTCAGTGACGCAGTCCCAGGGCAGATCTGGGCTGGGAAAGCCCAGCCTTGTGGAGTTCAATGCCAGTTTCCTGATTGGGAGTCAGGTCCTTTTGCCAAGACATTTGGGACACAACACTGCCAGCACTCCCATTGGACAAGCGGTTTCCGAAAGAGCCAATCAGCGCAGTCACTCCCATACCGATTTTAAAGTTGGAGCCCTCAGTGGGGAGATCAGAGTCTTCCCCAGACCTTCAGGATGGGGTCCATGACGCCCCAAACCCTCCTCCTGCTGCTTGCGGGGGCCCTGGCCCTGACCCATACCGAGCAGCGTGAGTGCGGGTCGGGAGGGGTGCGGGGCAGGAGCCAGGGGAGCGCGGGGAGGGACACAGGACCCCGGGGAGAGGCCTTTGTGCCACCCCCGGAGCAGATGCCCCCACTTCAGTCCGTCCCGCCCTCCCCTCACTCAGAACCTTCCCCTCAGCGCCTTTACTGCTTAGCAATTCCAAGGACCCTTCCTTCCCTGTAGCCTCCACAAACGTAAATCCCAGGTATGACTCCAAGCGGGGATCAGTCCGGGTCTAGCTCCGGGTCTAAGCCGTTCTCTCCCTCCAGGTTCCCATTCCCTGATGTATTTCATCACCGGAGTGTCCCGGCCCGAACTCGGGGAGCCCCATGTCACGGCCGTGGGCTACGTGGACGACACGCAGTTGGGGCGCTTCGACAGCGACGCTGAGAACCCGAAGGCAGAACTGCAGGCGTCATGGATGCAGAAGGTGGAACAGGAGTACGTGGACAGGCACACATGGCACGGAAAAGAGCAAACACACTTGAACCATGTGTACCTGAACAACCTGCGCAGCTACTACAACCAAAGCGAGGACGGTGAGTGACCCGACCCCTTCCCACGTGCGCCCAGGTCGTCCCAGGTCCCCAGGGCCGAGGTCCCCTAATCTGCGCGCCCCGCGGAGATCCTCCGCTGGGAGAAGCCTGCAAGACACTCAGGTTTTGTTTTCAGTTTCTGCAAAATCCCCGCGGATCGGTGAGGGCGGGGGCGCAGCTGCGTGACCAGGGCTAACCTTGGACTGGTGACAGGTTCTCACACACTCCAGAAGATGTACGGCTGCGAAGTCGGGGCAGATGGGCGCCTCCTCCTCGGGTACTGGCAGTGGGCCTATGATGGCGCTGACTACATCGCCCTGAATGAGGACCTGCGCACCTGGACTGCAGCTGATACAGCAGCTCAGATTACCCAGCGCAAGTGGGAAGTGACAGGTGAAGCTGAAAGATACAGATCTTATCTGGAGGAGGAGTGCATGAAGTCGCTGCACAGATTCCTGGAGTTAGGGCAGGAGATCCTTCAGCGTTCAGGTGTGCAAGGCTTGTAGGGGCTGCCCTTGCCCAACTCCCCAAGGGCTGGGGCTGAAGCTGCGCAGGATGGGAGGAAAGTTGGACACAAGTCTGTGTCCACCTCTCCTCATGACCACAGCGGGGATGTCCTCCTGGACTTTGGATCCAGAGCCAGATACCCACACTTTCCTCAGTGTGGAAGAGGGATATGAACTGTGCAGGCATAGAATTCTAAAAAGAATCCTCTTGGTGGCCTGGACTCCTGCTGGGTCCTGTGAGCTGTGACCCCTCCCAGGCCTGTCCCCAACCTCAAGCCAATGCACTGGGAGGATTCACCCCAGGGTTTCTCAGTCTCTCAGCCTCCACTCAGGACAACACCAAATCCCTTTCACCCAATAAGAGACCCGGGTCCTCCCAGCCTGAACCATACCTGATTCTTTGTCTACATCTTTGCAGACAACAGATGATCCCATTGTCTTTATCCAGGCCAGGTCTGGGCTTGCACTGCTCCACCCAAGTCCTCCTGTCCATTCTCATGATGGACACCGAGTGCAGCTTTGGTGTCACATGAAAAACATGAAAGGCCTGAATTGTCCAAATCTCCCCCCAGACCCACCCACAGCACATGTGACTCACCACCCAGTCTCTGACCAGAAGGCCACCCTGAGGTGCTGGGCCCTGGGCTTCTACCCCAAGGACATCACACTCACCTGGCAGCGCGACTGGGAGGACCTGACCCAGGACATGGAGCTGGTGGAGACGAGGCCTACAGGGGATGGAACCTTCCAGAAGTGGGCAGCTGTGCTGGTGCCTTCTGGAGAGGAGCAGAGATACACGTGCCACATGGAGCATGAGGGGCTGTCTGAGCCCCTTACTGTGAGATGGGGTAAGGAGGGAAGTGAGGGGCAGAGCCTTCAGCAGGGCTAGGTCCAAAACCAAGGTGTCAGAGCTCCTCCTTCTCCTTTCCCTTCTCAGAGCCTCCTCGGCCCACTGGGCCCATGTGGGGAGTCATCGCTGGCCTGGTCCTCCTGGCAGCTGTGCTCATTGGAGCTGTGGTCACTGCTGTGATGATGATGATTAGGAGGAAGAGCTCAGGTAGGGCAGGGTGAGGGCTGGGTCTGAGTCTCCTGTCCCCTGGGGAGAAGGTCTGCCTTCCCTAAACCCTGGAAGCACCATGAACACACCAGCTCCCCTAGCTGAGCCCCAAATGCTCACACTGGTGTAATGCACAAGTGAAGGTGAGGATGCACACTCCATGAGGATGACTCTGATCACAGGGACCTGAGTTCCAGCAGCACCGGGTCAGGAGAAAGTCCCAGCTGAGGAACTCCTCAAGCACCTTCTGATCCTCTCCTGGGTCTGTAGCCACAATTCTAGAAACATCTCTGAGATGAAGCAGTCCTTAGCTCCTGCCTTCTCCCTGTCTATCACCAGCTATTTTCTGTCACAGGTGGGAATGGGGGGAGCTACATCAAGGCTGCAAGTAAGCACTGGGGTGTGTTTGGAGTTGGGGGAATCCCCAAAGCACTTGCCATAGTCAGATGTCCATGGAGAAGCTGCCCTGCCCACCCTGTAGCTCCTCCCTCAGCCACACCTCCAGGGCTCTCACCAAGTCCTGATTGATTCTCCCAGATGGGCACAGTGCCCAGGGCTTTAAAGGTGAGACCTGGAGGAACTGGAGGGTTAGAGAGGCAGATCTGAGGGGACACAGAGGGGCTGGGGGATTCCTTGCATTTGCACATTTTTTTTAAGATTTATTTATTTATTTTTATTGCTTAGTCAGACATATATAGAGAGGAGGAGAAACAGAGAGAAATATCTTCCATCCAATGATTCACTCTCCAAGTGACCTCAAAGGCCATAGCTGTACCAATATGAAGCCAGGAGTCTTCCAGGTCTCCTACTAGGTGCAGGGTTCCAAGGCTTTGGGCCGTCCTCGACTGCTTTCCCAGGAAAAGCAGGGAACTGGATGGGAAGTGGGACACCAATATTATAACAGTGTCCATATGGGATTCTGGCGCTTTCAAGACAAGAACTTTAGCTGCTAAGCCACTGTGCTGGGCCCGTATTTGCACATTTTCATGTGTGCAGAGCTGTTCCTGTCCCCATGTGTAGTGCAATTTCTCACCTTGTTTCTGTAGAGTGAGACAATTGCCTTGTTTGGAACTGAGAGATAGAACCTTGCTTAAGTCCCCATCTTGGTATCCTTTAAAAGCCCTGCCCTCGGGTCCAGCACTATAATGTAGTGGCTAAAGCCCTCGCCTTGCATGCACCGGGATTCTATATGGGCGCCATTTCTAGTCCCAGCAGCCCCGCTTCCCATCCAACTCCCTGTTTGTAGTATGGGAAAGCAGTTGAGCACAGCCCAAAACCTTGGGACCTTGCACCCCTGTGGGAGACCCAGAAGAGCACCTTGCTCCTGGCTTCTGATTGGCACAGCACCTGCCGTTGCGATCACTTGGGGAGTGAATCATCAGACAGATCTTCCTCTCTGTCTCTCCTCCTCTCTGTATATCCACCTTTCCAATAAAAATAAATAAATATTTTTTAAAAAAGAACAAGAAGAAAGCCCTGCCCTCCCTTCCTGCACAGGCAGCTGAGTGTGTTCCTGTGGGCACAGTGTGAGGTGGGAGCCTGGCCCTCCCAGCCTAGCGTGGGCATCTCCATCTCTCTCTCAAGTCAGGTGCACCTGCTGCAGCTTCATCTTTCCTGTGCAGATCTGAACAGAAAATCACTTTTTTTTTCTAATTCCAATAATGAGTGTTTCATGAGAAAATTAAAAGGAAATTCCAAAAATTGGGCAAGAAAAAAACCAGAAGCACCAAGAACCTTCCAGAATCCATGTGTTTCCTTTTTGAGTCCACTGCAGGTGGGACAGGAAAGGCTGGGAGGCCCTGGGTGAGAACAGGGTTGTGCCCAGTTGGTCCCAAGACCAACAGTCCTTGTCGTGGTCACTGCTGACCCAGCTCAGCTGCCACAATATCCTGGTCTCTCTAGTAGGACGTACCCACCAACACCTGTCATCACAGGACTCAGCCATAGTTAGCCTTGCCTTGTCTCACAGACCTGAGGAAGTGGAGGCTGCATGGGGCCAAGATAGTCAAAATTCACACTTGGGTTCAGCTCTGGGCTCCCATCTTCCTGTGTCTATTCTGTTCCTTAGTGTCGTTGGCTGCTTGCATCTGCTTTTCCTGTGTGTGAGCTCTGGTGGCCTTCAGCTCTGTGTGTGCAGGAGGCAGTGTGGCAGGGAGGGAAACAGGAGGGCAGAGGACACTTGTGAGAGAGCACAGGCCACCTGGACACCAGAGAATAGGATGCCGTTCTGCAGCAGCCACAGGCGGCCTCTGTCTCAACTCCACTAATGAACCACAGGGTCTGGAAGGGCAGGTGCAACAAGCTCACTAATGGCCATGGGCCAGACTCAGTACCGGGCAAGTTGGTCCAGAGTGGGTGTGAGAGCTGGGTCAGCTGACTATCTCACCACCACGGTCAGCATGCACTGCCCTCTGGAGGTGATCCTGAGGAAGGTTGGAAGGACACAATAAGTCACAAGCAAAAGTGTCTGGGCAGGTGCTGCGCAGGCAGGGGACGGCCAGTGCAAATGCCCTGGGCAGGAGTGAGTCTGCACACAGAGCAGGGAGCCATCAGGAATGCTGGGTCAGGCACCACCATCCAGCAGGAGACAACACCCTGGAAGGCTCAGCCCTGGCGCTGAGTGAGGTGGGAGCCACGAGACAGCTCGGAATGAGGAGGGACATGTGTGCACCTTCTCCTATCCAGGGACCACCCTGGCTGCTGCGTGAGGATGGGGTTGAGAGACTGTGAGGCTGGAGAAAAAGCTCTCGGGGCTCCTGCTGTGTCCAGGCAGGGATGCCAGTCACTGTGTGGGTGTGGGCATGGGCAGAGTGGGAGAGAAGAGGTCCTAGATCCTTCTGCAGATGGATGCACAGCACTTCCTGTGGACTGCATCCAGGGAAAGAGAAGGAGGAGGCAAGGAGGACAGCCAGGGCTTCAGGCTGTGCCAGTTGCAGGGATGGCATTACTGTGAGAGAGTGTGACCAGCGAGGGTGGATCCCAGGAGGGGCCACCCAAGCATTCAGTGCACTAGCAACGGTAGCCATGGTGTTGCTGAGAATTGAGTGACACCGCAGGGCTGGTAGTGACCATGACAGGGACTAAAGGGAAATGTCTGTGTGGGAGACACACTGGGGAGGTGGCTCCACATGGACTAAAATTGCAGTCAGGAGCAGAGATGGGGCACCCAGGAAGTAAGTAGCTATGCTGAGAGTATGCACAGGACCAAGACATTGACCTGCAGTACTAAGTTTGGAACCGAAGCCACAGCCCAGCTAGCTGTAGGGTGAGTTCACTATGAGAATCTGGGACCTCAGATGTGCAGAGTGGATTCCATGTTCACTAGAAGGCTGGATAGCCTGGAGTGGCCAGGAGATCTGCGTGTGGCTCAGGTTGGTGCTGAAGCACCACCCACATGGCACACTCTGGCAACAGTCGGTGAGAGAGGACTCCCAGCTGGTCCTCAGCATCCCCTGAAGGATGGTCCCTTGAGCATACCTGGGCTCTGGGCCCCACACGGTAAGGGGACACTCTGGCAGAGATCTGGGTGGAGATGACCCAGTTTCACTTAGGATCTTCCAGGCTCACAAGGTGGGAAACACATGCACCCAGTTCTGAGCCACAACTTTCTCCTGAACTCTGACTGTCCCCAGGCTGCTGTGCTGGGCAGGACTAGCAAGGTGCTCAGTGGGGCAGGGAGTTCCAAATCAAAGTCAGCTTTATGTTTCCCAGGGAGGCCCCACCCTCACTGGACACCTTCCTATTTAGCTGGGATGTCGGGGGGGAGGGGCAATCACTTCAGTCTCAGCTTGTGATGTTTCAGCTCCCAGTGTTCACAACTGGACAGGGCACAGCCAAGGTCAAAGGTGCCTGTGTTCTCTGAGAGCCCCACGATCAACACTGCTGTCATCCACACTGGGAACCCCTGGGCCTGTGAACAAAGAGCACTACAAGATAGGGGGAGGAGTCAGAAATTTATGTTTATTTATTTGAAGATTTCTTTCATCTTTGTGAAAGAAAAGTGCTCCCCCATCTCCTGGCTCACTCCCCAAACACCCACAGAGCTGGGATTGGGGCAAGCGCAAGCCCAGAGCCCAGAACTCAGTGCAGATGTCCTCATGCCTCATCTGCTGCCTCCCATGGTGTGCACTGGGTGGACGCTGGGCCGGAAGTGGAGCCAGGACTCCAGCAGAGCACTGAGATGGGACTGGGCATCCCAAGCTGTGTCTCTACCGTGTGCTGAGTGCCCAAGCCTACATTCATGGTTTTCCATCAGGATAGAAATAAAGGGCACAGGTGGTCAGTGATGGCACAGGACATTGGAGACATACAGTGTCCTCTCTCCTGGTGTGGCAGCCCTGGAGGAAGGTTCAGGAAGAGGGCACAGCTGAGCACACGGAACCTACCTGGATCCTGCTGCCTCACACAGTGCCCCACACAGATTCTCACTCCTTGGAGCTCACGAAAAATCCAGGAGTTGCTAATATACCCTGCACCTGTCTATGTGACTGTCTATGTGACATGGGCCTGAAAGAAGGCAGATGTTGCGGACAACCTGGGGGGCAGAGGGGCTGACAGCCTGTTGCAGGTCTGAGGTGTGGTTTTGCACATCTGTCGGGACACAGCATGGTGTCTCAGTGGCTAAATCCTCACCTTGCACACACAGGGATGCCACAGGGGATATGGTTCATGTTCTAGCTGTTCCACTTCACATCCAGCTCCCTGATTGCATCCTGCAGTAACAGAGGAGGACAGTTGCAGGAGACTAAGAGGAAGCTCCTGGCTCCTGGCTCCACATCAGCTCAGCAATGGCCAACGTGGCCACTTTGGGAGTGAACCAACCAGTGGAAGATATTTCTCTCTGATTCTCCTTTTTTCTGTACAATTTGATTTTCCAATAAAAAGAAATGAATTTGTTTTTAAAAATGATAAAAGGACACATGACAGCTGAATAGTACCCTATAGCCATTTTAAGGTGTATAGAAGCCAGTTGTATACAAATTAAAATTGAAATATCAATGAAGTAGTCACAGGATATGGTTAAGAACCTGCATTTTTAAACATATTAGTTACTCAATACCATGTTAATTAACTCCATAATGCTGTAAATTGTTGTTGATGTTATGTTGGGGCTTTTAAGTGGTCAGGATGATATTCTGCCAGCTCAGCCTTCAGACCGGAGATGGTCTCCCCAAGAAACCATTGGATGTATCTGGACAATAAGATGCTGGACTCTATGCTTGGTATATGCTTGCAATGAAAAAATCTTGACTGGATTCGAGCTATAATATTGCAACAAGGTGGAGGAATCCACCATGGGGGGAGGGCACGGGGAGGGGTTAGGGGAATTCCAGAACCTATAAAACTGTGTATCAAAACGAAATGCAATCAATTTTAAAAAATGATAAAAGGGGGCCCAGTGCGGTGGCGCAAGTGGTTAAGGTCCTCACCTTAACCATATGGGATTCCATATGGGCGCCGGTTCTAATCCCGGCAGCCCCGCTTCCCATCCAGCTCCCTGCCTGTGGCCCGTGAAAGCAGTCAAGGATGGCCCAAGGCTTTGGGACCCTGCACCCGCGTGGGAGACCCGGAAGAGGCTCCTGGCTTCAGATCGGCATAGTATCGACCGTTGCGCTCACTTGGGGAGTGAATCATCGGACGGAAGATCTTCCTCTCTGGCTCTCCTCTCTGTATATCCGCCTTTCCAATGAAAAAATAATAAAAATAAATCTTAAAAAAAAAAGATAAAAGGAGACTTCACTGCTAATTCCAGAGAAGCACAAAGGGTCATAAGAAACTGACTACTCTACTACTCTACATCTAATCCAGCTCCCTGTTAGTGGCCTGAGAAAGTAGCAGAAGATGGCACAAGTACTGTGTGCTTTGCCCGCATGAGAGACGCAGAATGTATTCTGGGATTAGGCCTTTAGTGGCCGCCGGCCGCCCGAGCGCGCTTCAATTTGTTGTTTAGCCTTGTTGTGGTATGATCCTAGGAGGGGGGGTTGGGGAAGGTTTTTCTGTTGTCTGGTCTCCTGAAGTAGAGGTAAGAAAGACTCTCTAGAAATAACTGCTCTATTCATACTCTAGAATAGATCTAATTAGTGAACTTTTCAGAATAAGAATTTATGAATATAATAGGTAGTGAAATTAGAGACCATGAAAGGAATTATGTGTACTAACAATTTAGGAAATTGACCATATGAAGTGTGTCGAGGAGAGCTAAAATAAAATTAGAATAAGGTTGGAAACAAAAGTTAATTTGTATATGGATTTATAATTGAAGAAAAAGTTGGGAAGGTATTAGAATTCTGAAATTAGGTCCTGATTGCACACACGCGAGGATGCAATATTTGGGGGTGTATGATAAATGGAAAACAACGAGTTGTTATTATGTGATTTGGGGATAATGCTTTGAATTGGCTGGATGGCTGTAAGACTGCGGTTATGGGGGAATAAAATATGTGGGGTAGTTGTAGTTATTTGGGTTTAGTATTTGTATTTGTATGATGGTCGAAATAATTATGGTTGTTAAATGTGGAGATAGGAAAGTGGATAGGTGGGATTTTTGTAACAAAAAGTTTTATTTTTTTTTTGTGTTATTTTTTGTTGGAATGTTTATTGAATATGTATATATTAATGGAATTATTTATAATGTGTAGAATGGTGAAGGGATAATTAAGTTGTTAAATGATAATAAGAGAATTAATGGAATGATGTGTTATAGGTGTAATTGATTATGTTTTATAATGTGCTTCTGCTGTAACCACAAGCCCAGTTCCTGTTTCTGCTCAGCTTAATGAGCGCTAATTCGCTCCTTAGCCCACAATACCCTGGGGGTGGTGTCTGTGGTGCCTAGTGTCTGTGTCTCCCACAGGAAGACCTGAATCAAGTTCATGGCTCCTGACTTTGGCCTAGCCATGGTCCAGCTGCTGAAGGCATGAGGAGCAGTAACCAGGAGATAGAAGGTCTCTTTCTTCTCTCCGTGTGTGTGTGTGTGTGTGTGTGTGTGTGTGTGTGTGTGTGTGCGCGCGCACGCACGTGTGTGTAATATATTTGTATGTATATGTATATAATATGTATCCCTGGTTTTCATAATAAAATTTTAACATACAATACTTCAAAGAAATGACACTGAGGGAACACCAGGACTCCAAGATGGCATCAGTCATGCCACTGAAGGAGAAGAAACTTATGGATGTCAAACTCACAGAGCTGCCGAGCTGGACACTGAGGCATCAGTGGAGCATTTCATAAAAGGCTGTGACCAAGTACATCAACGTAAAGAGGACAAACATCGCCAGCATGAACATGATGCTGAAGACTACATGCTTTTCAGCCAGTGCCTTTCATACAAGGAACCCATACATGAATGGCAACACGAGTACCACTGGAGAGGCCAATGTGGATGGCACACCCCGTATTCCTGACCCAGGCCTTCCAGGCCCACCAACCCTCTGTGAGGAATTCCATCATCACTGAATCCTTTCATACTATAACAGATCTAACACCCAATAAAAGATCATGGGAGAAAAATCACAACATTGAACTTGTTAAAACCACTGCTTTAGCTACACAGACCACTACTTTTAGAAATAACAACGTCTGTGAGAATCAACACACAGGAATAGAGTAAGGACACATTTAAATGGATGGAGAAGTATTACCCAGTGTGAAGCAGAGAGGGCACATTCCAGGAAATAGGAGAAGACAGAACAACATCAGGGGGATACCTGGAGACTGACAGACAAAGGAAAGCAGCAGACACAATGGTGTGGGGTTGCAGTGACCAGTACCCCAGCAATATCCAGTGAGCGGCGATCTGAATTGCAGCAACAGTCAGAACTCCGCCAGCAGTGAAGTGGGAAGGGACATTCACCAGGAACTCAGGAGGTGAACCCAGACAAAGAACTGCTCATCCTGCTGGTCTGTTTGATTTGAGCAGGAACAGACACGGAATGGCAGGTTCCAGACAGGCAGTGCGGGAGCAGGGTGAATTTCACAGCCTAGTCCACCCCCTAGAGCCAAATATGTCACCATTCTGTTTAAGGAGGCAAAGGCTAGAGAAAGGACTGAATGTACACTGAGCTTAGAGTGAACTCATTTCTAGCTCTGTGAACTGCAAAAACATGACATCCTACAGGTTCCACCCAAGATACGTGCGGGTAGCCTTCAGACCTAATGGCCAACAGACCAACACCTCTAGTAGTGGCACATCAAGCACCATTTTGTATGGTGTGGGAAAGAATGCAGGGACAACAGTGAGCTGCGGGTACACTGAGCTCAGTGAGAACTCACTGAGTTCAGTGCATTGCTCTAGTCCCACGTGCAAACTAATTCTGACTTTGGCATCATATAGGTCAAAATAGGTCCATGTAGCCCTCAAACCTAATGGCCAATAGATTCCAGGAAGATTATCACCACCAGCAACTTAGCTATATAGGACTCCTGGTGTCTCCCTAATCCTGTGACCTACTCATGGGAAGCTGGAGAAAGGCCGCACAGACAATGGTGCAGCCTCAGCACGGTATCACAGGAGGTAGAGAGTGGTGAGCCAAGAGCTGGTGCTATGGAGACCATGGTGGAAATCTAACATAAGAACCCAGACCTGGAATTCACTGGAAGGAGTGGCACAAGTGACTACAAGCAAAGAGCTGTGCACCAACTGCAATAAGTAAAATTGAACTGTAGACCTGTGGGTGACACAGCTTAGAAACCCAACACAAGGAGAAAAATCTGCTAACTAGAAGTACAATGACCAAGAGCAAAAGAAGAGACAAACGCACAATGAATATTACTGAAAACTTCCCTGCAAAGGAGCAAAATCCTTTGCCAATCTCAGAGTTCACTGAGGAAGACATCGAGAAAATGGGGGATACAGAATTCAAAGTACTTGTTGTAAAACTTCTTATCAAAAACATAAAGCAAGCATTCAAGGAATTTAAGAAATATGTCACAAAGGAAATGAATCAAATGAAAGCTGATATACCAAAATTGGAGAATACAGTGGAGCAAATTTAAAGTACAGTGGAGAGTCTCCAAAATAGAATGAAGGAGGCAGAAGAAAGAATCTCAAAATTAGAATGTATTTCCTGTCATCAGGGGGAAACAAACAAACCAAAAGCTGGAGACAGAGCTGGGTCAGGCTAAAAAAAGTATTCAAGAATTGAAACACATTATGAAAAAGCCAAATATATAAGTTATGGGAGTCCCAGAAGGTGCAAAAAGAAAAGCTGGGTTTAAAGATGTATTCAATGAAATAAAAAGGGACAATTTCCCTAATCTAGAGAAAGAATTGGGAAACAACATTCAGGAGGGGCACAGAACTCCCAACAGGGTTTCCCAAAAGTGATCTTTATGATGACACATGATAATCAAGCTCTCTTCAATCGAACATAAGGAAAAGATCCTTAAATGTGCACGTGAAAAAAATCAACTAATTGCCAATTAAACTCACAGGAGACCTCTCACAGGAAACTGCAGGCCAGAAGAGAATGGAGCAACATATTTTAGATTCTACAAGCAAGAAATTGTCAGCCCAGGATAATTTACCCAGCAAAACTTTTCTTTCTCTTTGAAAATGAAATAAAGTTCTTCCACAGTCAAAAAAAAAAAAAGTTAAAGAATCTGCCTCTTCCAAACCTTCCCTACAGCTCATACTCAAAGATGTTCTCTTGACAGAGAAAAAGAATAGCACTCACCAAATCCAAAGGCAAATGCGAAGAAAATCTCAGTAAAATAACAACAGAAGACTAAATCAACGAACAACCCATTGCTAATATGACAAAACCAAATTACCACCTATTTGTATTAACCCTGAATGTGAATGGATTAAACTCATCAATCAAATGTCAGATTAGTAGACTGGGTTAAAAACAAAACCCATCTACGTATTGCCTAAGGGAGACACATTCCACCAACAGAGATCGGCGGAAACCATATCTCATGGATTTTGACTTTTTTTTTGGTTAGTTGCATCTCTTCATAGATCACATGGTAGAATCATTTTCTTCAAGAAAGTTCTTGATATTCGCTTATTCAGCGACACAGTAGTTATTCAGTAGCATGTTATTTAACTTCATGGTATTAATTTCTTTCTTTTCTTCCCGTTGTTGTAAAAAAAGAAACAAGGATGTCAGCACTAATTCGATGCAGTTGATGTGTGGAAGAAAGCAACAGTTCCCCAGATAAAAAATCAGACCTCAGAGATGCCCAGTGACAGATCCAGAATCCACATTATAAGATTTATTTCTAATATTCAAATGACAAAATAACCTACTAATCTGAGGAAGAGGAGAATAGCAATAAGGTATCAATTCATGCAGCTTGATGGATGATTATCAAAAGATGAGTGATAAGGGCCCAGTTTGTGCAGTGGGTAAAGCCTCTGCCTGTGATGCTGGTATCCTATTCAGGTGCTACTTCGTGTCCTGGATCCTCTGCTTTTGATCCAGCTCCCTGCTAATGCACCTGGGAAGGCAGTGGGAGATGACCCAGGTGCTTGGGCTGCTGCACCCATATGGGAGACCCTAGCGTCAGACCCGCCCTGCTCCTGCCATGCAGCTATTTGGGAAATGAGCAAAAGATGAAACAATGTGTCTCTCTTACCCTCCTCTCCTCTCTCCCTCTTCTCCTCTCTTCCTCTTCTCTCTCTCTCTCTCTCTCTAACTCTGTCTTTCAAACAAAGAAGTCTTAGTCAAAATGAATAATATCATTTGCGACATAATGGATAGAGCTGAAAGACATTTATGTTAAATGAAGTCAGACAGGAACACAGATGTCTCCTGTTCACCCTTTTATGTGGCCGCTAAAGAAGCAAACAGGGCCAACACTGTAGGGTAGCAGGCTGAGCTGACAACACCCATCTATTATGGGCACAGCTTTGAGTCCAAACTGCTCCATTTCTTGTCTAGCTTGCTGCTGTATCACAGAAAGTAATGGAAGATGCCCAAGTGCTTGGATCCCTGTCACCCACGGGGGAGAGCTGGATGAAGGCTCAGTGTCAGCCTGTGCAGCTTTCTCTCTCCCCCCCCCCACCCCCCCCCAGCTCTGGAAAAGCCATCTGCCTTGGCACACACAATCCTGAAGAAAGGACCCGAGGCCTCTTCCACCCACCAACCACCAGAGGACGCCACAGGGCAGCCCTGCCTGCCCAGCCCAGCCTCAGATGGGGCAGCCCTGGCTCTCAGCTCCACTGGGACAGTCTGAACAGAAACCTCAGTCCACCTCCCGGGTTCCTGATGTCACACACGGTGGGCAGGGCAGGTAGGCTGCAAAGTCGGATCGAACCAATCAGCGCCACCCGGATATAAAGTGGGTGTGGAGGTTCCCGGAAAAGTCTCTTTAGTTCTCCATGATGGGGTCCACGTTGCCCCGAACCCTCCTGCTGCTCGCGGTGGGCCTGTCCCTGACAGAGACCCTGGAGCGTGAGTGCGGGTCGGGAGGGAGACGGGCTCTGCGGGGCAGGAGCGAGGGGAGCGCGCGGAGGGAACACAGGACCCCGGGAGCCGCCTCTCCGCAGCCCCTGTAGACGTCCCCACTTCTACTTATCCCCCATCGCCTCACCCAGTCCCTTCTTCACTGACCCTTTACTGTTTAGCAACCCCAAGGACCCTGCCTTCTCTGCTGCCCCAGCGGACTTGGACCCCAGGGTACCACTCCAGCCCCTCTCTCCTCCAGGCTCCCACTCACTGATGTATTTCATCACCGGAGTGTCCCGGCCCGGCCTCGGGGAGCCCCATTTCATGGCTGTGGGCTACGTGGACGACACGCAGCTCGTGCGCTTCGACAGCGACGCCAAGAACCCGAGGGCAGAACCACGGGCGCCGTGGATGCAGCAGGTGGAGCAGGTGTACTTGCACAGGCACACACAGCGGGGTAAACAGCAGACACAGATTAATCGCGTGGACCTGAACAACCTGCGCAGCTACTACAACCAAAGTGAGGACGGTGAGTGACCCGACCCCTCCCACAGGCGCCTCGGAGACCCTCGGAGGGAGGAGCCCGCGGGGACGGGGATCAACCGGGTTTCATTTTCGGTTTCAGCTGAAATCCCAGCGGGTCGGTGAGGGCGGGGGCGGAGCTGCGTGGCCAAGGCTAACCTTGGACTGGTGACAGGTTCTCACACACTCCAGAAAGTGTATGGCTGCGAAGTCGGGGCAGATGGACGCCTCCTCCGCGGGTACTGGCAGTGGGCCTACGACAACAAGGACTACATTGTCCTGAATGAGGACTTGCAAACCTGGACTGCAGCCGACATGGCGGCTCAGATCAGCAAGCACAAGTGGGAGGCTGATGGTGATGCTGAAGACTTCAGGGCCTACTTGGAGGGGGAGTGCTTAGAGTTGCTAACCAGATTCCTGGAGTTGGGGCAGGAGACACTACAGCGTTCAGGTGTGCAAGGCTTGTAGGGGCTGCCCTTGCCCACATCCCCTAGGGTTGGGGCTGGGGCTGTGCAGGATGGGAGGAAAGAAGGAGCCAGGTCTGTGTCCACCTCTCCTCATGACCACAGCAGGGATGTCCTCCTGGACTTTGGGTCCAGAGCCAGATACCCACACGTTCCTCAGTGTGGAAGAAGGACCTGGATTGTGCAGGCATAGAAAAATCTGAAAAGAATCCTCTTGGTGCCCTGGACTCCTGCTGGGTCCTGTGAGCTGTGACCCCTCCCAGGCCTGTCCCCAACCTCAAGCCAATGCACTGGGAGGATTCACCCCAGGGTTTCTCAGTCTCTCAGCCTCCACTCAGGACAAGACCAAATCCCTTTCACCCAATAAGAGACCCGGGTTCTCCCAGCCTGAACCATACCTGATTCTTTGTCTACATCTTTGCAGACAACAGATGATCCCATTGTCTTTATCCAGGCCAGGTCTGGGCTTGCAATGCTCTCCCACATCCCTGTCCTCCTGTCCATTCTCAGGATGGTCACTGAGTGTAAATTTAGTGTCACATGAAAAACATGAAAGGCATGAATTGTCCAAATCTCCCCCCAGACCCACCCACAGCACATGTGACCCACCACCCAGTCTCTGACCAGAAGGCCACCCTGAGGTGCTGGGCCCTGGGCTTCTACCCCAAGGACATCACACTCACCTGGCAGCGAGATGGGGAGGACCTGACCCAGGACATGGAGTTGGTGGAGACCAGACCTGCAGGAGATGGAACCTTCCAGAAGTGGGCAGCTGTGCTGGTGCCTTCTGGAGAGGAGCAGAGATACACATGCCACGTGGAGCATGAGGGGCTGCCTGAGCCCCTCAGCCTGAGATGGGGTAAGGAGGGAAGTGAGGGGCAGAGCCTTCAGCAGGGGCAGGGCTGAGACCTGGTGTCAAAGCCCCTTATTTTCCCTTCCCCTCTCAGAGCCTCCTCGGCCCACTGTGCCCATGTGGGGAGTCATCACTGGCTTGGTCCTCGTGGCAGCTGTGCTCATTGGAGCTGTGGTCACTGCTGTGATGAAGATGATTAGGAGGAAGTGCTCAGGTAGGGCAGGGTGAGGGCTGTATCTGTGTCTGAGTTTGCTGTCTCCAAAAGAGAAGGTCTGCCACCCCATTCCTGGGAAGCACCATGCACACACACCTGCACTCCCAGCTGGGCCCCTGGTGCTCACATTGGTTCTGGTGTGAAGCACAAGTGAAGGTGGAGAACAAACACTCCACAGGGATGACTCTGCTCACAGGAACCTGAGTTCCAGCAGCCCCAGGTCAGGGGAAGATCCCAGCTGAGGACACACCTCCAGGAGAGGCACCTCCTGACCCTTTCCTAGGTCTGTAGCCACAGTTCTGGAATCTTCTCTGAGATGAGCCAGTCCTCAGGCCCTGCCTTCTCCCTGCCTCTCACTAGATGTTTTCTCTCACAGGTGGGGAAGCAGCAAGCTACACTAGGGCTGCAGGTAAGCACTGGGGTATATTTGAGGGTGAGGGCGTCCCCAAGACCCTTAGATGCCCATGGAGAAGCTGCCCTGCCCACCCAGTAGCTCCTCCCTCAGCCATACCCCAAGGACTCTCACCAAGTCCTGATTGGTTCTCCCAGGTGGGAACAGAGCCCAGGGTTCTGACTGCTCTCTGACAGTTTGAAGGGTGAGCCTTGGATGGGATGGAGCCAGAGAGATGGTGGGTCTGAGGAGAAACAAAGGAGCTGGGATTCCTTGTGTTTCTGTGGGCACAGTGTGAGGTGGAAGCCTGGCTCTCCCAGCCCAGTGTGGGAGCCTCTGTCCCTGTCTCAAGTCAGGTGCACCTGCTACAGTTTTGTCCTCTCCTGTGCAGATCTGAACAGCAATTCACTTTTTCCAATTCCAATCACAAGGGGTTAAGAAAATTAAATCAGAAAAATTCCAAAAATTTTGCAGAGCAAATAAACTGAAGCGCCAAGAACCTTCCAGAAGCCATGTGGTTGCTATGTTGAGTCAGCTGCAGGTAGGACAAGAGAGACTGGGATGCCCTGGGTGAGAACAGGGTTGTGTCCATGCACTGCTCAGCCCACCAGGTTTTGTCGTGGTCACTGCCAACTTGGCTCAGTGCCTTAGTGTCCTGGGCTGTCTGGTAGGTCGTGCCCATCAACACCTGCCAATACAGGACTCAGCTGTGGCCAGGCTGCCCTGCCTCATGGACCCAAATAGTGGAGGCTGCAGGAGGCCAGAACAGTCAAAACACACTTGGATCAGCCCAGGGCTCCCATCTTCCTATGTCCATTTTGTTCCTTAGTGTTGTTGACTGCACCTGCTCGTCCTGTGTGTGAGCTCTGGTGGCCTTCAGGCCTGTGTGTGCAGGAGGCAGTGTGGGAGGGAAGCAGGAGGGCAGATGATACGTGTGAGAAAGCACAGATCTCTTGGACACCAGAGGAAGGGGATCCCACTCTGCAGCGGCCACAGGCAACCTCTGTCTCAGGCTTCACTAATGAACCACAGGGTCTAGAAGGGCAGGTGCAACATGCTCATCACTCACCCCCACCTTGCTGTGGGCTAGACCCAGTGCAGGGCAAGTTGGTCCAGAGTGGGTGTGAGGGCTGGGGCAGCTGGCTCTCTTGCCACCATGTTCAGCGTGCACTGCACTAAGGGAGATGACCCTGAGGAAAGTTGGGAGGACACAGTGAGTCACCGTCAAAGGTGTCTGGGCAGGTGCTGTGCAGGCAGGGGACGGCCAGTACAAATTCCCCAGGTAGGAGCAAGTCTGCATACAGAGCAGGGAGCCGTCAGAAAGGCTGGGTCGGGCACCACCGTCCAGCAGACCTCACACACACTGGAAGGCTCAGCCCTGGCGCTGAGTGAGGTGGGAGCCACAAGACAGCTCTGAGCAGAAGAACGTGTGCACCTTCTCCTGTCCAGGGTCCACTCTGGCTGCGGCATCATGACAGGGCTGAGAGGCTGGATACAAAGCTCTAGGGGCTCCTGCAGTGTCCAGGCAGGGATGCCAGTCACTATGGTGGGTGTGGGCCTGGGCAGGGTGGAAGAAATGAGGTTCTGGATCCTTCTGCAGATGGATGCACAGCATTTCCTGTGGACTGCATCCAGGGAAAGAGGAGGAGGCTAGGAGGACACCCAGAGCTTCAGGCCATGGGGGGATGGCATCACCGTAGGAGAAGGGCAACCTGGGAGGGTGGATCCCAGGAGGGACCACCAGGCATTCAGTGCAGGAGCAGTGGGAGCCAGGATGTTGGTGAGACGTGACCTGCAGGGCTGGCGGTGACCATGAGTCAGGTGATGAGGGGAAATGTCTGTGCAGTAGACACACTGGGGAGGTGACTCCACTTGTGTCACATTTGCAGTCAAGAGTAGAGATGGGATACCCATGGACTGAGTGACTGTGATGAAAAAGGACACAAGACTGAGTCTTTGACCTGCAAGGCTAAGTGTGTGAGGGAAACCAAGGCTAAAGCGCAAGCAGCTGCAGAAAGAACCAGGGACCTGAGACGTGCTGAGGGGATTACGTGGGCACTAGGAAGCTGGACAGTCTGGAGTGGGCAGGGCATCTACATGTGGCTCTGGTGGGTGATGACGGCACTGCCCGTCCCTCCCCCCCAGCACACTATGGCAGCCAAAGGGAATACAGGACTCCCATGTGGGCCTCAGCCTCCCCTGCAAATGGTCATTTGAACACACCTGGGCCCTGGGCCACACAGTAAGTTGCCACTCTGGCAGAGACTTGGGTGCAGGGGGCCCAGCTTGGAGTGGTTTCACTTAGGATCTCCCAGGCACAGAATGTGGGAACCAGAGGCACCCAGTTCTGAGCCACACCTCTGACTGTGTTGGGGCTGCTGTGCTGGGCAGGACTCTATCAAGGTGCTGGGTGGGTAAGGAATCCCAAGTCCAGTTCAGCTGTATGATCTCCAGGGAGACCCTACCCTCACTGGACACCTTCCTGTTTAGCTGGGATGTCAGGGGGGAGGGGCAGTCACTGCAGTCTCAGCTTGTGGTGTTTCAGTTTCCAGTGTTCACATCCGGACACAGCTACAGTGAACATCAATCAAGGCACCTGCTTTCTTAAGAGCGCCCACGTTCAACCACACTGTAACTCACACTGCAACCCTTGGACCTGTGAACTGAGAACATTTCGAGATGGGGAGGGATCAGACAATTATATTTATTTATTCGAAAATGTTTTAATATTTGTGAAAAAGAGTGTGCTCCCCCATCCCCTGGCTCACTCCCCAAAGGCACACACAGCTGGGGACAGGACAAGTCAAAGCCTAGAGCCCAGAACTGAGTCCAGGTGCATAATCTACTACCTCAAAAGGCATGCACTGGGCAGACGCTGGGCCAGAAGTGGAACCAGAACACTGAGATGGGATCAGGTGTCCCAAGCTGCATTTCCACTCCTGTACACAGTGCCCATGCCTACATCCATGGTTTTCCATCACGGAGGAAATAAAGGACACAGGTGGTCATTGATGACACAGGACACTGGAGACACAAGGTGTCCACTCAGCCAGGGGTTATCCCAGGGAGAAGGTCCAAGAAGAGGCCACAGCTGAACACACGGAACCTCCTGGCATCCTGCTGCGTCACATGGTGCCCCACACAGATTCTCACGCCTTGAAGCCCACAGTGAAATCCAGGAGTTATAAATTCACCCTGCGCCTGGCTTTGTGATGAAGGTAGAGGAAATGCAGAGAACCCAGTTGAGGCTGCACAGCCAGGAGCAGAATCCATGGCCTCACCCTGGCTGGTCCCAGCTGGGAACCACAGCCCTGCTGCTGGGCACAGAGGGCACAGCTCACACCCTTGACCCTGACCCTGACCTTGGGCATGCACTAGGATTGCAGTCCATGCTGACAGCCTGGGTGTCCTGCATTTAGCAGCTCTGTGGTGTGATGCAAATACTTTTGTTTGCTCCAGAGGAGACAAGGTTCACTTCCTGACTCTTTCTCAGAATTCTTCTTTCTATGGGTCAGTGAGGAAGGGGCTTTTCCTCTCTCCGAGGAGGTGTCTGCTTCTCTGACACCAACTAGCAGTCCTGCCCTGAATCCTGGCAGGGACACCTGCAGTTAGTGTCCAACCCGCAGGTTCCAGGCCCATCCCTGACACTGCCCTCACCTCCCAAACCAGCTGCCCTCAACTCCCACCTTGGTCACCTGCTCTTCTGACTGCAGTGGCTACAACGTTGAGGTTTTGCACAGTGTTCCTCCCAGGTTGGATCATGTCCTGTAAAAACTCCCAGACCCCAGGCAGAAATTGTACTTCCTGTTGCTGTGTACACCAAGGTCACAGAGGGGCAGCCAGATGAGCACAAGGTCTACAAGGATCCTGGTGTCAGGGTCTCTGTGTCCCCGTGGAGCTGGGCTGCAGCCCCTCCCAGCAGCTGACTGCATGGCCAGTCCAGGGGCTCTTCCCGACCCTTCCTTAGAGGTGTCCATGGAGCTTTCCTTGCAGAGTCTTTCTTGTCAAAGTTTATGTTCGTCTGTTTGGCAGATGGAGACTGACAGACCCACGATAGGCTCCCTTCCACTGGCTCACTTCCCAGGAACAAGTGAGGGCAGTTTTGTCTCCACTCATGTGCCCTTAGGATGGCCTCATCCACTGAAAACTAAAAATAATAGGGGAACTATTAAAGAATTTATAATACTGAATAAGCAAGAGAATAAACATTTACGACAATAAATAAAGGGTACAGACATTCACAGGGAAAAGTTGTTTTTATTTGGAGGACATTTGCCATAATTCAATCCCAGCTCTGGTTTCCTCAGGCTATTGGCTGCAGCAGATCAGACAGGAGCCCAGAATCCTTCCCCGGGGGATCTGATAGGAGACGCTCCTGCTCCCTCAGAAACTGGGGAAGCTGAACTTCACATCTCTGAGAGGCAGACACATGAGAACATGTGCTTCAGCCCCTGTGTGAACCAGGTCTTCCCATTCACAACAGCTATAACAAGTGAAATGCCTTGGGGTGAGTTTAGCCAAGGATGTGAAAGATCTCTACAGTGAAAGTCACACAACTTCAATGAAAGAACAGGACACACAAACAATGGGGAAAATCTTTCAGGATTCTGAATGAGAAGAATTAATATGATCCAAAAGTCCATGGTGTCCCAAGCAATTTACAGATTCAATGTGATCCCAATAAAAGTACCAAGGTCATTGTTCACAGAGCAACAAGAACAAACCAAATCCCAGATTAGCAGGAGGAGAGAGACCAGAATAAATGAAAGTGAAATGAAGGAAATGTGAAAGTAAACAAAAATATAGGTTGGTTTTAAATAAAATAGACAAATATTTAACCAGACTAACCAAAACCAAACCAAAAGCAAAAGCTTTGAGAAAAGCTCAGATAAGTAAGATAAGTAGAATCAGAAATGAAAATGGAGACATTACTGGTCCAGCACATTGGCTCAACTGGCTGATCCTCCACCCCCAAGCACCTCATCCCACATGGACACTGGTTCCTGTTCCTGCTACTCCACCTCCCCCTCAGTCCCTGCTTGTGCCTGGGAGAGCAGACAGGAACAGCCCAAAAGCCTGCAAACCTGCACCTGAGTGGGAGACTAGGAGGAAGCTCTGGTTCCTGGCTCCACATTAGCTCAGCTATGGCCAGTGCACCATTTAGTGAGGGAAGATACAGATCTCTTTTTTTCTTGTACAATCTGGCTTTCTAATAAAAAATAAATAAGCTTTAACAAACAGGAAAGAGAACATGGCGCAACTAATGGCTAAAGTCCTGACCTTGCAAACAACAGGATACCTTATGGACACTGGTTTATGTTCCAGCTGCTCAACTTCCCATCCACCTCTTTTCCTGTGGCCTGGTAATTCAGGCTGAAATCATTGGGCCCCTGAACAAACATGGAGACACAGAAGAAACTTTTGGCTCCTGGCTTTGGTTCAACTCAGTTTCAGCCGTTGCTGCCACTTGGGGAGTGAACCAGCTGATGGAAGATATTTCCTCTCAGACTCTCTGTAAATTTCACTTTACAATAAAAATAAACAAATCCTTAAAAAAAGAAAAAGGGAGATTTTACTACTAACTCTATACAAACCAAAAGGGTCTGAAGAAACTGCTGCAGGGCCTCCCTTTTGGGCACTGATTCAAATCCTAAAGTCTGACAGCTCCACTTCAATCAAGCTCCCTGCTGATGGCCTGGGGAAGCACCAGAAGATGGCTCAAGTATTGTGTCATTCACTCAGGACATATCTTAGGCTCCTGGCTTAGCCTGGCCCAGCCCTGGTTGTTGCAGCCATTTATGGAGTGAAACAGTGGATGGAAGATCTTTGTGTCCTGCTCTCTCTGTAACTCTGCCCTTCTGAAATAAAGCAAGAAAGAAGGAAGATGGGGGTGGAGGGGGGAAGAAGGAAGAGAGAGAGAGACAGTAAAAGAAACAAAGAAAATTATCATGAAAATAACATATACTGAAAAATTCTATGTGTTAATCCAAAATAAAAGAAGGAACAGCTATTGCACAAAAACACAACAATTAAGTCAGCACTGTTAAAGCTGCATCCCACATTGCAGTGCAGTGCTCAGCATCCAGTCCAGTGTCCTGCTAACGCACACCCTGGAGCAGCACATGGTCCTTCAAGCACTGGGCCACCCACAGGGGAGACCAAGATGGAGAGTTGGACTCAGAATTCAGAGAGGTCCAGCGCTGGCTACTGCATGTGGGGAGTGAACCAGCAGATAGAGGATCTCTCCCCATTTGCCTATCTCTGTCTTTTTTTCTCTCCCTCTCTCTCTTTCTCTCTCTCTCTCTCTCTCTCTCTCTCTCTCTCTCTCTCTGTGACTTTTCAGTGATAGAACATTAATTTGTTTAGGATAAAAATGAAACTTTAAAATGAAGTAACTATTAAGGGGGAAAAACTCTCAGAATCAGATTTTTC